AATCTGTTTTACTGACTGGGATCTCCGAAAAACTAAAATGGAATCCGCATGTCTCGCGGTAACCGAGCCAAAAGGTTTTGCTGAGGCTATGACCACTTCAACTTCTCATGCGACTGAAAATGTCAACATGACAAAACCTCCGACTGCAATCGATGGTGAATATAAGCAACTTCGTGCCATTCGTTGACGAGCAGAACGCCGGGCAAGAAAGACTAAAAATGTTGAGGACGTTCGGGCTTCTAGGCGAGCGCAAAAACGTGTTCAACGCCACTTAGACAAACGTTAAAAAAGACGCTGAATGTCACTTAGTTCCAACCTTCACCTGAGAAAATCACTCAATCGAATATGTCAGGTAATGCAAAGCCTACGTGCAAGGCCACAGCAAGTTCAACCGTTCTGCGCAATCAGTCTGAGTCGCCAAGTATCAGAAACAGTCGTAGCCGAAATGTTCTATATCAAGGTCCATTCCAGCTCTTCAATACCCCATGACAAAGTCAGTGCCCAGGAGGGACATGTATCCGTAGATGTATGCAAGGCTATTGATGCATATTTTACCTTAAAGGAACTTGATATGGCGCTCGAGACGTCTAAAGTCAGGTCATTCCCAGGCGCAGATGGTGTACGGTATTCAGCCTTAATTACGCGACTTAGGGAGGGGGCGAGGACCGCACTGCTACAAATATTTAACTTCTCTTGGGAAAAGGGTTCTGTATTAAAGGAATGGATAATTGCGCGTGTGTTACCAACCTTGAAACCTGAAAATCTCTTTTAGACACTAATTCCTTCACTCCGATAGCATCAACAAGTTGAATAGGCAACATAATGGAGCGAACGCTGCTTACCCGTATGGAGTGGAATCTAGAAAATAGTGATCTATATCCTTCGTCCATGAATGGATCTCGACGGGAAAGAAGCAGCATTGACAACGTTATTGACTTAGTAACTAGCATTGAACAAATTAATGTAGTAAATAAAGAAAAAAAAACAGCTGTATTTGTAAACATAAAGTCGGCATTCGACTGTGTAGAACACAACGCTATTCTTCAAAATAGGAAGGCCATTGGTTTTGGAGGACGTGTATACAAATGGATAAACAATTACCTAAAAGAAAGAGAAGTCTACATATCGACACAGGACGGCACCGGTCTTCACCCTATTACAAAAAGAGCATACACCTTACTTCTTCGACCCCAGCTGGAGTACGCCTCACCGGTTTGGAATCCCCATCAGTTTTTTTATAGAAGGGATTTTAGAGGCAGTTGAGGAAAACCTAGCGGTACGGTTTATTCACAGAAATTATAATTTCACGGCTAGCGTCAGTGCTCTTAAAACTCAACTTGGCCTCCCCTCTCTTAAAACACGTAGGACGATATCCGTCTTAACCATTCTAGATACAATTTACTACCATCATCGTTAGCAGAGATCTTTATACTACATACCTGCACCTCACACCTCCCCTCGCTTAGATAAATTCTGCAAGCTTCTTTTATCCATTCCTAGGAAAATACACTTAAATTTTTTCCTTTCCAGCTTTCTAGAAATAATTGGAATAAATTACCAGACTCAATAGTAACAATATCGGATATCTCAAAGTTTAGAGAATCAGAAATATATATATATATATATATATATATATATATATATATATATATATATATATATATATATCTTTCTTCGATTGTTTAGCACGGGATACCGCAAAATCTAAATACCTCATGAGAAAAGGACGAGGAGGATGAGGAAAGGAGGGGAGGAGGAGGAGGGGAGGAGCACTGGAAGAGAATAGGAGGAAAGGCGCGGATGAGGAGGAGGGGCATAAACTCCTCCCCGTTCCCTCCTCCCCCTTTAATTCAGTTCTAATTCGGCGTTACAGGGAGTTGTAAACATATTTAATTTTTTTTTATTTGTATCTCAGCTTCTGAACGAAAACGCCGAAGCAAAAAAGCTGCATGCTTATAGATCAACATGTCAAATATAGTCTGGGTCACGGGGAGAGAATTGCAAGTGAGATAGTCCAAGCACAGGGGCAAAGTAAAGACAGAAGCACAGACATATACCATGTATTTATTTACACATACTTACATTGCTCGCTTTTGACCCTTGCTGGATTCAAATAGTATTTTAATGGACTCCACTGGTCGTAGCTGCGGATTTGTTTATAATATCCCTCAAGTAATCCACAACAAACGTGAAGGTATCTAGCCCGTTATGAACCTCTTCTCGATCATTTACGTTTGACATCCTCTAAAAATGAAATTTTGGCTAAATCCTATTGGTTTAAAGCTGCTTGCTGCTTGCTCGGCCGACTCAACGGGGACGCTCGGCAGCATCTCCGGCACCAGGGATGGCCCAACAATGTTCACAGGATACAAGAAGCTTTTCTGATGCAATCTTTCACCCTCCACAGGTTCCACATTTTCTGCTACTAGTGCAGAATCTTCCACTGGACAACCGTTCGAATGTTCGCTGTTACTCCGTTTTTTTTGTTTTTTTTTTTTTGTTAGTAGAGAGCGCAGCTGTAGGGAGTTTGGAGGCGAGGAAGCTTTGGGGGACCTGAAGCAGCGTCTCTCTTTCCTGGAAAGGACAATTCAAACTAAACGGTCTATTATCTGAATACATAAGGCTGGAATAATGATTAAAAATTGAATATAAAAAAAAGTGCGAACATTTGAAGTTATGGTACTATAATTCTGTGCATATTTTGGACAGTTCAATGCATGCCATGCAGGCAACTGGGAGCGATTCGGCCGTCTTTCCTGCTATCGTACAAACAGAGTTTCAGTAATTGTGTGTGTTCTAAAAATAAAGCACGCCTGTATGCGTGTACGAACTATATCATTTCATTAATTTGTGAAGAAGCTACATTTATGTCGAACGACTTGGTATCACAACCATTTCAAAGGCCTTCAGACACAGGGCAATCAAAACATCTGCTAGCCAGCGCATGCAGAGTGCACGCGCAGTCGGGATCGCAAGCGCCGATCACCCAAAGGCCTTTGATATTAATGTTATTTGAAATGCGTTAAGCGGGGTGTAATATTCTCCTAACTCATTTACATGCAAAGAACAAAATTTCAGCGTCTGAAACACTTACGCCGCCGCTTCACCGACCCCTCGCACGATCACTTAGGTCGTGCAAACGGAATGGGGGGACGGCAGGGGGAGGGGGGTGGTTCATCGGCGGAATTGCGTCCGCCGATGGCATTCGGTACTTTTAACCTAATTTTAAAAGTAAAAGTGACAAACACGTTTACAAACGGTACGGAAGCACGTCGGTATCACTCTTACCCGGCGTCCTGTATACCGGGCCAACGGAAGTCCCACTCCCGAGGTTCTTGCGGCACACAACGACCGACGTTGACGGTGCCTTTCCCACCCTTAAGTTAGATTGTCCATGCTTTCTTTAACCTTGACGCATTCGAGTGGTGAAAGCTGATACCGACTTATTTTGGGGATTTGCATTATGGTTCTCAACAGTAGGTCAACATGATCGCAAACCAGGAAACGGCGGCAAAGAAGGGAGCGGGACGCGAGATCGCGAAGCGGAGTCCTTTCCCTGACGTCATGAAACATCTCACACAACCAGGGCGCGGCGACCGCAGCGACACTTGAGTTCGCTGTCGGCGCGATGTGGAGGTTTTAGTAGATTGGGGGGGGGGGGGGGGGGGTTCCGATACCTCCGACACCCCCGATAACGATACGATGTAGGCCAACGCCTCCTAGGTACGAAAGCCGAATAACTGAATGAGAAGACGTCATAAGCGAAGGCCAACGCTGGGCACAGATTGGACACGATGCTAGCGTAAACGTCCTGCTCAAACTTGGCTTCTGGGCGCTGTCGTGTACGCGCAGATGCGGCGGCGGAGTATCCGGTATCGTTATCGGAGCCATCGGAACGATCTACCAAAACTCTCTAATCTCCGCGGCTCTTTGTGTTTGATTTGTGAGTTTTGCTTGGCATGGAAAACAGGGTAATTCTATTTAATAATTCGCTTTCAGTTCTACAGACAAGAATCCCTCTTGTAAATTTGTGGAGAACATGCTGTGTGTAGTGATAATGGTTTTGTAAACTTCTGAAAGCGATCGAAACAATTAATTCTTTTTACATACATAGTTACCTACATGCGCAGCATTTATTTACTCAAGAAAACCATTTAAGGCCTAAATGAAAGTAAACAGGTTCGTACCGGTAACAGTTTCGCCATACCAGGATGAACCTGATACTAAACAGACTGTTACTACCTACATCTTCGTAGTGTTTTCACTTCTATGCCGCTAAATCAACAACGCTTCATGAGATGAGAAAAAGTAACTAAGTCTAATATACAGATAAAAAACGCTTAAACCACACGCCATCTGTAGAGCTATATAAATTTTCCTGTGAAGAACAGCAGCTCGAAATATGTAGAGATTGAGAAAATCGATACCCCTGAAACTGCTAAAATATTAAAGATCATCTAGGTTATAATTTAATTCTGCTATTTTTAGTTAACCCCGACTTAAACAGGGTTCAAAGCAAAACAAAAATCATAACAGGGATTAAAAAAAAATATAGCTACCCGCTTCAAATTACCTAGGGTACGGTGTCTACTAAATAATTTCCATACAACCACAAAAAAAATATACAGTGGTACTCGCCAAAGACAACAAAAGGTCATCTGGCTTTTATATAGAAACATACGAGGAATCGCTTGAGCAAAACAATATATTGTGACGCAAGTGATTTAAAATTTTTGGCTTCCCAGTTTTTTGTTTGTTTGTTTGTTTTTGTTTTTAGAGTTAACAAAGGAAAGTTTGTCGACTGAAAGTTCATCCGATATCCGGGTAAACAAAAAAGCAAAACAATAAAATGAAACACAATGAAAGTGTTTTTTCTTTAGCTTTTTTTATACACCGTCAAAACCTACCTCACACTTCAGAGCCATATGTTGCATAGGCTTTCAAGAAAGACTTCACGTGTCCTTGCTAACTTCTGAAAACAGAACCTATCCTGCTGAAATATGCGTCTGGCGCTACTCCTCGTCGTCCAACTGTGCACCATCGTACATGGAAGCACAACTCGTGAGTGTTCATTCGTTCGAGACATACAATTTTTATTATCATTATCTTGTTGAAAATATTTCAATATGGTTTCTTTTTGAATGTCTGTCGTCCTATGTTCAAAACCTAAAAAATCATGCACAACCGGGACCCACCAAGTGTGCAGTACTCTTAATAAAACAAGTAAAATACCTGATGGGCATTATTTATAGCACGGGTATTCAATTCTAGTTCCAGCCCCTCCGGAAACGGCATGCCGAATATCTTTTTTTTACAGAAGTAAACGAGAGTGCACAGAGCGGCCGCACCGACTGGTACTGAGCCTGGTAGAGCCCACTAGAGGTAACGCGGTAGGCGGCAGTAACGCGATGGAAGAGAAAAATGAAAGCGTAATTTTCAATATTCAAATTGTAATATTAACGTCACCACAATATAAACATCACTGAGCAGCTTTCAGGCATTCTGCTCCGAATGTAAGCTGGCGACATTTGTAGTGTCAAGTGAAAGTAACGAACCTCGCAGACACACGGGGATTGATCATGAAGTATAGCGCTTCCTTAGTCTTCTAGGTTTTCTTAATGAAGACCCCAACAAAATGACTAGCATATGGACGTTTTACACAAGTTTCAGATCGCAGCCCCCATCGCCGACCTTCTCTGGTCTTACCGAGATACCGAGTTACCGAAACGGCGTTGACGAGCCTCGAGAAAGGCCAATGCCTTCTGGAAAACAGAGTAGAAACCAAAATGGGAACAATCTGGCCTTCTATGGTGATGACTAAGTAAAGAGAACAAGGGAAAAAACAACAACTGAAGGTCGGTTATGGCAGCGCCGATGCACAACTGCTGCAAAGTGTCGTGGCTTGAACGTTGCGTCAGAGTCACCATGCTGGTGGTCATTCCTGCTTGTTCTTGGTGAGAATAACAAAATCGGTAATGCGAAATGTGTGCTGCACAAGCTACACACTCGACAGCAAGGCAATTACCGCTCAGGAGGCGTGAGTTCAAGTTATATAGTATATGCATTTCAAAAGGTGTCAGGAATCGAAGAGCTCGCTATGAAATGACGCGTAGAAAATCGGAACATGAACGTAACGAGTTAACGGACGAAAGTTGGCCAGGGACTACGGCCGCAACTGTGTGAAGGCGCGCATACAGGATAACCAACAGCGGATCTACCGCGCAAGACGTCGACAGTCCACGGCGGAACGGAGTCTACGACAGACGCTAGCATACAATGACCTACGGAATGTGTTCTTGGCAAGGAAGGAGGCCGAGGAGATGGAAAGGAACAGATGCACTGAGGCGCATAACAACAAGCTCACCCGGCTACTGCCTCCGAGATCGCCATCCAGGACTGAGAAATGTACGGTCTTCAACATGTCATCCAAGCCCCTTCTGCCCCGACACGTGAGTCTGCTATCCAAAGGGCTGGACTTTGCCCTTGCTCCACGGTACGTTCCAAAACGTGACTTCATAATCGAAATTGAAGAGAAACTCAGACATGTGCACGATGTCACAGGGGTAAATCTCGCGAGAAGTCGCGTTGTCAGTGTTTTGAACAATGCGAAACCGGCCGGGTCGAATTTAGGTCAACAAGAACGCGTTGCTCTTAATGAGTTGAAGTCAGACAGCTCCATCATGATTTTAAAGGCCGACAAAGGAAAAGGAACCGTTGTGCTTGATAGGGATGACTACATGAAGAAAATGTATGAAGTTATAAACGACAGTCACTATTTCGTGAGGCTATCAAAAGATCCCGCTGCTAAGTCCGAAAGAGACTTAGTTGACCACCTTCGAGAACTGAAAAAGAAAGGACGCATCAGTGACGACCTATACCGTCGTCTCTTCTCCTCTGACGCCGCGACACCCAAGATGTATGGACTCCCCAAAATTCACAAACCGGGTTGCCCCCTACGCCCGATTGTATCTTTTATTGGTTCATCTACTTACAGCCTTTCCAAATATCTGGTTGAGATTCTGAGCCCTCTTACGGGAAACAATGAGTTTAGCGTCCGGAATTCCCATGAGTTTGTCGAACTTATACGCGCTCAGACCCTGCTACCGCACGAGGCTATGGTATCCTTTGATGTGATTTCTTTATTTACGAATGTCCCCAACACCCTGGCGGTTGAGGTTGCCCGTGACCGGTTGTTGGCAGACCAGTCGTTGTCCACTCGTACAACCCTCCTTGTTGATGACGTTATACTTCTTTTGCGTTTTTGTCTCAACCAGTGCAATTTTAGTTTTAATGGGGACATATATCATCAGGTCAGCGGATGCCCTATGGGGAGTCCAGTTTCAGTAACCGTCTCGAATCTCGTCATGGAATATGTTGAGGAAAAGGTAATGTCTGGCATTGATTTCCCCGTTAAGTTCTACCGTCGTTATGTCGATGACACGTTTGTAATAGTTAACAAAGAGAACGTAACCGATTTTTACCGCAATTTGAATAGTGTCCACCCCTCAATTCAGTTCACCTGCGAACATGAAACCGACAGTACCTTACCGTTTTTAGATGTACGTGTCCATAGAACTAGTGAACCTTTCTTTAAGATGGAGACATCCGTATATCGTAAACCATGTGACACACAAAACTTTCTTGACTACCACTCTCATCACCCTACTCAACACAAAAGCTCAGTTGTAAGATCGTTACTTCATCGTTCAGAAACAGTCCCATCTAACTCAACACTTAGCAATCAAGAACTCAGCCATGTGCGGGAGGCTTTGAAGAAACGTAACTACCCCGAGCGATTTATCAATCGCGTTAAGAAACAAATGTCCCGTCGGCGCCCGGATCGAGCCGAACGAACACGTGACGTCGTGTGCATCCCGTACGTTAAGGGGATTTCGGAGGCATTGGGACGCGCCCTTAGGCCGTTAGGGGTACGAACTGTATACAAACCCTACAGAACAATTGCCAATGTTATCTCCAAGCCAAAAGACCCGACCCCGCCAGAGGCAGAAAGGGGCGTGATCTACCAGGTGCAGTGCAAGGAATGTGACGCTTCCTACATTGGAGAAACGGGACGAAAAAGAAAAACAAGACTAAAAGAACACGCACGGGATGCCGCCAATTCCACGAACGCCACCCGCTTCAAGTCCGAACTCGTCGACCACACATGGACGTCAGGACATCAATTTGACTTTGACAAGGCATCGACCTTGGCGAGGGATCAAAGGTGGGGACCGAGGAAGCTGCTGGAATCTTGGTTTATCCAGAAGGACAAACGCGGAAGTGATTCATCGCTGGTAAACAGGAACCGTGGCCCCCTGCCGGAGGTGTACGCAAACTTTATGCCTAAATAGCCGAACTTTTGTGTGCGACTCTCACTCGCTCTGTGCTCTACTGAAGATGCCTCCCGCATGGGAGGCGAAACGTTTAATTAAATTGTTATTTTTGTTATGTCAAGCCGTTTTCGTTATTACACTTATCGAGTTAAAACTTCCGCGGAAAGTTGGTTTTACTGGTGGATTTCACCAGATCAATGTACACGTTACCCTGAAAAGTAACTAAATACTGTTACTCGTTACTCGCCCAAAAAATAACTAAATAAGTTACTTTTAGAGCGCAGCTCTTAGGCGCCCTTTTCCGGCTTGAGCGGCGCCCCGTCGCCATCACCGTCGGCGTAACCGCGCGTTGCATTATGGGACGTTTTCCATAATGACGTCACACAGGACGTCGCACGTGACGTCACGTGTGACGTCACAAAGGTCCCTAGGGTCACGAGTGGCGTCATGAGTGACGTCACGAAGGTCACTCGTAACGGTCATGACCTTTCGAGGCCTCGAGTTACGTCACTAGGCCACATGTGACGTCATTAGGAAGAAGAGAGGGGGAGGGATGAAGGGGGAGGGGTGAAGGAGGAGAGAGAGGAGGAGAGGAGGGAAAGGGAAGAGGATGGGCATACCCTCCTAACCGTACCATTCCCTCCGTACCCCCAAAAAAAAAATAACTGAATGCGTTACTTCTACCACTACTCAAAAGGAACGCGTCACTCTAGTGTAAAAGTAACTATTTATTTTTCTCGTTTTTTCGACGACCAAACACACAGCAGTTTTTGTTTTATGGTTTATTGTTTTCGTTTCAGTAATCGTTGCACTTAAGAAGTAGCTACTTCTCCACTTTTCATGACTTGTTTCCCCGCTTCCTTGAGAATACATCTCTGGCGACGATGAAGAGTCGTTCTACTGACGCGCTCGAAGCAACGGCAGTGATGAGCCTCAGGAGCTGGTGAATCTGGGATTCCCCTCTCTCGTTTGTTCTCTCTGCTTCTAAAGTTCCAAGTTGACAAAGGGGTCTGTGCCTTTCCGTGTTGGCAACCTCCGGGTTTACATTAAATCTGTACACGATTCCAGAAGGTTCAACCAACGAACCTTATTGTGTTCGCCAAGCGAAGAACATTCTGAGTTGTAGAGATAGACTGACGTGTTAAGCGATAAACGTTGCTATACCGTCATGCTCCATAGTTGTTTTTCAGGTTGTCCATTTGCCTTTGTCGCAATGGACGCATACTCAGGTAAAAATTTAAACGAGCCTGTTTACGCTGTGTTGTACTCGTTACTCCTCAAAAGTAACGTTATACCGTTACTCCTTACTTGAATCTAAAAGTGACAAAGTACGTTACTTGTTCCCTTTCTAATAAGTAACTAAATGAGTTACTCGTTACCGAGAAAATGAACTAGAAAGAAGTAACTCCTTACAAGTAACGCGTTATGTACATACCTTGATTTCACATTGTGAAATTTCTAGATGTAGATTTTGATACGGTGAATTATTAGGGTAACGACAAGGACGCTTTTAATGGCGACATCTAACCCATGCGACCCCGGGAGTCGTGCTCGTGAAACCATCACCCAATTAGCGAAGTAATGAGTTGATGAAGGGGTCTGGTTTCGATCGCGTATACCTGATGTGCGCTGCGTTTCAATATTACATGGTTATTGTTCTAACTTTTACAGAAAGGTCTGCGGCTTGAAACTTCACTAGGTGAAACCCACCGCTAAAGTACAGTCTTC